AAAATAAGGTCAAACTCATTCAAAAGATACATTAGCTGCCCTGAGAATGCTTGTCGAACATAAAAAGCCTGTTATATTTTTAGACAAAAGAATTATGTGTGTTGAAATCAAAAGGCTTACAAATAGATTTAAACGTTGATAAAATTCAACCTAAAATATAATTAGAGAAAAATTATATTTGATGAATTTTAGATTACTAAACCCAAAGTAATGATATTCCTTTATTAAAGAAAAGAAAGTTGATTCTTTGAATAATATAATTAAATTTTGTACGAATCATTTATCAGTTAGAAATTGATGAATAACAATTTTTCTTTCAACACTTTCATTTCCTTGTCTTTTCTTTTGGAAAATAAATAGTGCATCCATAGATTTGGAACTCATTATTTTTTCTTTTCTTATCGTTGCATGTTAGTTTGAAAATGCTCTCCTCAAACTCTAATAATAACAATGAAAATCTTTTTTTTTTGTAATATAATAATAGTATATAATTATCTGAGTATCATATATCCAGATACGATACAATAAGAAAACAGTTACGACAGTTGATACTTTAAATGCTTTCGAGTATTCTATTTCACTATTTCTTGGTTGTTTTTGTTTCAATTGGTTTGGCTTTGTTAAGTTTTGCAGTTTGTTAATTTTCTTTTTCCTTAATAAAGTCAACAAGAATTTTTATTTGTTGATAATTTTAAATAGTTTCTTTTTTTGTTTATCGTAATAAGGTATGTATTTCCATTCTATAGGCTATTTCCGAAAATGAAATTTAACGTTTTTTTGTTTAAAGAATGAATATCTTTAAGTTCAGTTATAATATAAAATTGTCATGAGCTTTGTAGGTTTTTTGACATAGGACCAGAAGCGATTGAAGTCATTTTCTAATTAAAAACTTTTCGATTCTAAAAATTTCCTATAGAACTGAAGTTAAGTATTAAAATGTTATTATGGATTAGACGAGTAGTGCATTTGAATAATAATCGTTTTTTTTTTATGACGACAAAATTTTTAAAGACTAATTTTTATTAATCAATATTATTAAAAAGAAATTATCTTCTATATCTTTTGTGTTATTCTATCTATGAAATTTTTCAATACAGGAAAATTTTCAGATATTTTCATAGCGTTATTTTTCTTTTCTTCTTTTTCTTTTTTTTTAACCATCTGGGATTATTAACTTTTTTTAATCTTTCTCTCCCTCTAATGTACGCATATATGTTTAGCATTAAAGGAAGTTCAGCTCAGTGTCTATGTATGATTATTTTTATTCTATATTTTTTCGCAGAAAACATAATCGGAATATTTGACGGTCTGGTTCATATGTTATTTCCATTGGTCGATAGGACAATTAACAAAAGCTTTGCGTTTCATCTATGAAAAGTAGGTTTATTGAATAGTTGGTAGAAGAAAAATAGGCCTCTTAATCAACGACGTGAAAAATGTATTATAAAAGAGAACTTAATAGAAAAAAAAACAAAAAGAATATGTCTTCTTTGTTTTATTAAAAAAGTACACCGAATATTGTTTGATCAATATCAATATATATATATATATAAATATATATTCATTAAAAAAATAAATACCAACTATAAGAATATCTTTATGTTCAATACTTGTTGGAATTGATTACTTAGAAATTTATTTAGGTAAGTTTGTCTTATTGCTTTATTTCTTTATATCATATATAACAAGAACAATAAGAATACATTCGCATGCAATATAAACAAATAAGTACGTATTTGTTATTTCAAGATATTAATTTCTAGTTTATTTTGTTTTTGGTTTTCCTAAAATGATCTAATTAATATCGAAGGTGGAATGACATTATTGATAAGAAAGTAGATTTATAATGTTTGGTTAATTTACTTTCATGTTCTTTTCACAATAGGTCAAGTACAAGATAGATGGATAGCATATTTCACTATCATCTTAAAGTTTTTCATTCTATAAGATTGTTTTTGTAGTTATTAAGAAAATTCAATCGAAAATATCAAGATAAATTATATAATGAGAATAAATCGAATATCTAGCTTGTATTTTTTCTTTTGTTTATATCGAATTTATTTCACACAGAAAATGTTATTTATTCATAATATTAATCTAAACTTTGTTATACTTGAAAGAAAATCTCATCTTAAATTAATATTATGTATCCCATAATCAACATATTACTTTCAGAGGTGTTCCCAATGGCAGGAAGATGATCCCTCTTCCAATTATGGAACACTTTTGTTTTTTCTCAGCAAAACTGAAGAATCATTCTTCATGTTTCTTGTTTACCAATATTCTCAACAAGGGTCGCCCTCTTTCCAATGTAGTGAATTCAACCTTCTCAGTAGTTAATTTCCTCTCTTTTAATCTTAGTTACCTCGAAATATCTCTAATTACTTTATATATAATTATATAGTATGCTGGTTTTTACAGCGTCAATTGATGAATGAGATTAAATTTATACGTTTCTCTTTTTGACACAGTAGTGCAATGTCTTTTATAGGACACAAACTAGAAAACGAGAGACGATATTATATCATCGATAATAAACAATTTTATTTATATTATAATCATCATGTATCCTTATTCAGCAATGTTTACAATACGCCATATTGTTAAGTAAAACAGAAAAAACATGATTTTCATCATTGTTTATAATTTTCTTTTTTCTTTTATAAAAAAAAAATTCATTCAGTTCTATGTATTTATTTATAAATATAGTATCACTAGTTAAATGTTTGTAATTACGTCCTTTTTAAGAATCTATATTGAAAAACGTAGTATATAATTAGTTAAATTTTTGTAAAGTAAAATTTGATTTTTTTCAGAATAGTTTAGATTCATTTATGTCTTCGTGCTTAATTAATTCTATTTTATCACGTTTATTTATACTAATGAACACAAATTCTTTGTGTATCTTATCAAAATAACTCAATGCGCAATAATGTCATTAACAACATAAGAAAAAACACCTTTTTTCCGTTGTTTTTTTGAATACAACATGAAGTCTTCATTATTTTTTTTAGCATCTTCATTAGTATATCTAAGTCACAAGACATTTAGCATATAAAAGTATAATGAATAATAATAATAATAATTCTTCGACGGAAAGAAAATTATACCCATTGTGTATAGATAGGAAAAATAGACAAAAAAAAATTAGAATAAAAAACTTGGCTCGTTATATGTTTTTCTCATAAGAAATTAAAATTTCAATTCAATGAAATATTTCATTTATCTTATTTTCATCTCATCATTAAAAATAAATTCATTGAGAATATCATTTAGTTAAAAATCAATTCACTGAATAGTTTAGAAAGAAAAGCAAATTAAAATTCAATTTATTATTTTAATAAAAACTTTCTTTTAAATATTATCTCCATTAAACTATTCTTCTTTTCATTTATAATTTAAATATCAATTTTATATAATTTGATAACAAATTTAAGATAAAAAATTCGTACGAATTCCTATCTATAAAATATGGTTCAGACCTCATAGTTTTTACTAAATTGTACCTTTTTTTTTTGTTTAATTTAGCAAAGTATTCATTTTATATTGAGTATATAAAGTCTACCAATTAATTATGTTGATAAAACTAGTATGGTTGAAAAGGTTTATTATTGTATTTTGCTTTAGTTTTTTTTCTCATATTATAAACAATGAGATGAATAGTTCAATTTGGTTAAAAACGATTGATTGAATTTGATTCTTATAAGATACAAGAAACTAATATCTTTATTTATAACATAACAATAAAAAATGTTTAGAAAAACAAAAAATTGACAGTTTTTACTAGTTGTTCTTTTTTCTCTTTTGAGAATTTTTAAAGTTCATTTAGATATTTAAATTTTCTTTGATAGAAAAAAAAAGGGTAATTAGTATCTGATTCAAATATATAAAGTCAAATGAGAAGTTTTTTTATCACATGCATTCTTTTCTTACAATATTTTATCTTCAATCTGTTGAAGAAAATAATGTCGAATACTAGATTTATCGAAACCTAAGAACCAAGATTTATTTTTTGACCGGAAATTAAATTGAGTGTATCCATTAATAATGCATTACTGTATCTCCTGAAATTTTTGCCAATCGAATATATTATGTATCACAACATGCAACGAAAAATAATATAGAACCAGGTTAGATTTTTTTTCTGGTATAAAATGAATAGTCTTTATTATATGATATATAGAATTTCTCTTGCAGAATATAATTTTTTTTCGGAAGTTAATTTTTTTTCTTTTATAATAAGAATATATCATATCCGTAGGCAATCGATGCTGATGCTGATAAAAGTAATCTATTAATGATTGGTGTATTTATTAATTTTTTATCTATGTTTCTTCTTAGAAAGGAAAGATTAATATGAAACTTTGAGCTTGATTTTAATTACTAATTAAAAAAAAAAATTAGTAGAATCATAGCCGATTCCATGTTTAAATAATATTATTAGAATATGATGCATAGGAACTATTATGATATCAATTTCTCTATAAGAAGAATTATTATTTTAATTAAATGATGAATACAATAGTCTAGGTCAATTTTGTTTGAATAAATAAGTTTATATAGTAATAGATATTTTAGACAGAAAAGAAGATATGACCAGGAAAACCTTATTTTATTGGATAAATTACTAGATAACTAATCATTTTTTAATTTCCTTTTCTTTTTGATGAAAAATTCTTTCTATTTTAATGACGTCTGAATGCATGACAGCACTTAAGAAAAAAAAAAGCCTTTTAGAAAAAAGTTTAATAAAGAGTATTTTTATCATATAAATTATCACTTATTAAAATTGTATTTATTTTCTTTGTTACTTTTGTTTTGTTGTAAAGTAATTTTTTATATAGAATATTAATGAACAGAAATGATTATTAAGAAAATAAAGTGCTTTTCGTTTCTTAAATAAAAAGTCTATTCTGAGTCATTTTACTGTTATTATCATTTATTTAGATGAATAATTTTGTAAGAATAGATGATTAACGAATAATTTAATAAATAGAAATATGGTAATAATAAACGAAACAATAGCAGACAATTCGTCGGAAGAACATGACGCTCCATTATTTGCTGGTCAGGTCTTACTTATATTTTACTGTTTAATTTTTATTTTTGGTTTTATAGGTAATTTTTAAAAAATTGAATTTAATACATAAATTCATTGTTGTTGTCTTCTTGTTTTTGTATTAGGTAATTCCATGGTTATTTATGTAGCTATTCGAAAGAAAAATTATAGAAATGTAACCAATTGTTATGTTATTAATTTGGCTATAGCTGATCTTTTATTTTTAACACTTTCAATACCGTACACAACGTATTTAGGTGTGAAAAATTCATATCCATTTGGTAATATTGTATGCAAAATCTATACATATCTTGCTTATGTAAGTTAATTAGAATTTATAGAATATTCTAATAAATTTTTTATCGTAGGGATTTTTACAAGCTACTTGTAATATATTAGCTATGATGAGTATTGATCGATTTTTATATATTGTTCGACCAAAATCAAAACTTAGATGGCGTACACCACATAATGCTTTTATAATTTGTATTATCATTTGGGCTTGTAAGTTTATGCAATGAATATTCATCTGTGTTATATGTTTGCTTGCACTATCATCGATACACTGGCAGTTGATTGCCGATCGGAGAACAACGATCGATATATCACGATAGAATGATGGTCAGAAGGTAGCCGAATGTCTATATATCAAACTACTTTCAGTAGACTGCAAGGATCAAACAATAGAGACTTCAATCTTGAAGTCACACGAAGTCTTTTAAAATCTTTAACCTATGGCTTTTGTGAAACGCGATCTAAAAGGAGTATTGAAGTGTAGAGTAGAAAGTGGGACCCTTCGGACCACTCCGCTCCGCTCCTCCAACGTGACAGACATCTTACCAACGAGTCACCACAGACATGACAGACACCATAACGACGCTATCTTTCTCCTGCAGTCCCGCCCCCTTCCCCACCTTACAGACCGTATATCAATAAGATCTCGTTATAATATATGTCCTACTTCCTTATTGCATTTCTCGAAGATTAAATAGCTAGATGATGAAGAAATGTGTCTCAAAGTAGATAGAATAAAACAGTCTCTCTGTGACTAGCAACAGAAACTACGTCGTCGTGTCTCACATTTCAATCCCGCAGAAATTCCGCTAACAGCTTCGAATACATGTTGAAATGATATAAAGTATCTGGAAGTCTCTATGATTGAAGTTTCTTGAAGTATGCTGTTTGTTCCTCTCGGTAGACTGTCGGTATATCCGCAGTTTTTTTGCTACTGCCAGCAAGTACCACTAATATAGTGTATACTATACCGACGATTTATCGGCTGTTTTTGTTCAAGCTTGAATCACATGGGTTTCTATATATCGAAATATTTGTTTTTTTTTTAATATAGGCTCTTTAATTCTCATTATTCCTTACCATGTAGTATCACGTGTATTAACATCAGCTTCTATCGCTTGTGGAATGGCTGAACATGAAAATTTGATTGTTTGCTTATTTCCATTTTGTTCCTATTATGCCATACCCCTTATTGTGATTATTGTATGTTATACGAATTTGGCACTACATGTGATAAGAACAAGTCGAAAAATGGCTGATATTGTGAATACTGTATGAAACCTACGAAAAGTTTTGAAGAAAAAAAAATTAAATTTTCATTCTTTGTTTTTTTTTCTGTAGAAAAGTTTTCATCAAACAGTACAATTGAAACAACGACGAGTAACACGAATGGTAAGATAAAATTATCGAACTACTAGGTTGTTTTAATTATCTTAATAATATAATCATAAATATGACTTTATAATAGTAAATGCAAAATCTCTTCATTTCTGAGTAAAGAAAAATAAACATGTATGATATTGGTATCGATTTACGATATATATATGAAATAGTTTTATAAGAAATCAAATATAAATTTTTGTGATAAAAATTCTTAATATTAAAACTTCATTTAAACATGAGAACATAAATAGACAAGAAAGATTTTATGAATAATTTCTATATAACTACAGCACATAAATAAAAGTCACTTATTTGTTATCATCAAAAAAAAACCGATGTATAATGTCGTTCTATGTTATATAAAAGATTACAGTAACATTCGAAAGTAGCATAAAACTTTCGAATACTTCTTGATAATTTTTATATGCTCAGATGAGTCTTTACATTCTTTGGAAATGATTTGTATTTTACTCAAAAAATAATAATAAAACCCCATTTTTATAAAACATTTATAAACAAACACTATTATATGAAATACTCAACATAATATTGAATTTTAATTATGTATCATCTGAAGGAACAAAGTTGATTTCTTAATTTGATATAATAAGTCTGAAAATGAGTAGAGATCTCGATATTATAAATAATTTTTAAATATTTCTTCACTTAATTCAGAATGAATGTTTCCTATCAGGAAATATAAGAAGAGGCAGAGAGAGAGAGAGAATTTTTAATTTTTACTAAATATGAGTGATATGGGCATTGAAATAAAAAATTTCTTCTATTATAATTCAGTTGAAAGAGATTGGTTCCGATTATTTTTATATATAGTAGTTACCTGTTAGTGAAGCAAAAAAAGAAATGATCAATTCATGTGTAAAATGGCGTAATAAAGTAAATGAAATGGTTAATAGTTGAGGAAATGAAGTCACCAAAAATCATCACAGTCGAAAGAAGCAAAGGTTACATAAGACATTTTACAGAAATATTATTATATTCTATATTGAATACAATTCATCAATGATTTAATTTGCAAAACTATTATTACTTTCGATCGACTTTTACATAAAGATCAAATTATAAGACAAGTTTATAAATTTATACAGAAAACAAAAGACCTGCCGAGCATTAATGTAGGCTCCTAAAAAAAAAATTCTTCATAGTGAGGCAAGTCTTTCTAGCAGAAATGTTTATCTTTAGGTCAGAATAATTTCTTAATTTCTTTCATTATCAAAGGCGGTCACATATGGGACAGCTATCAATCAATGCGATAACTATCGAATTTCATTAGAAGCTCTCAAATTTGTGTTAAATTGTCGAAAAATAGACAAACTCATTTTATCGTTGAAAGTGACACAGACTTTTCTTTTTTGCATTTGGAGGTTTTAATCATGTACAAGTCATGAGATTAGTTCTATTTTTGTGATAATATTTTCAAAGGTCTTTTTTTTTAATTTCATTTATTAACAACAAGGGTAAAGAAGTTTGAATGAATGATTCTAAATTGTGTTGCCAAGAAGATAATTAGTTTCATTACATAAAACTGAAGAAAGATTTATCTCAAATTACGTTAAAATCAGATAAGACTCATTAGAAGTTTTTTTCTAAATCAGAGAAAGCTATCGTCAAATTTTCAAAAGCAAGAGAGATATCCTACCTGAATCCTCTCGTGATCACATCACTCCTGAATATTATGAACTCATATCTAGAGTGTAAAACTATCAATAACTTTCGGACATATCATAGCAACACTAAAATCTCATCGTAAGTAAAAGTTCCAGCATTCGATTTTTTTTTAATGATATACTTTGATAAAGATCAAATTTTAGTAAATTAGTTATTAGCTAACAAGAGAATATTTTAATTCTTAATTTTATCTAATCTTGATAGGTCTTCTATAATGAAGAAAATCTTATCTTAAAAGTTTCTTTTTGTGTCACTTAGAATGAATAGTAACTCCATTGTTAGTCACTATTGTGAATTGTTGCAAAAATTGTTGGATACATTCAATTATCAAACTTTTATCATCGAAATCAAAGATATTAATCTTTCTTTTATAAATATGTTGTTGTTTTTGTTTTGTAGGTTATTGTTGTAACATTAGCATTTGCTATTTGTTGGTTACCAATACATATTCTTGAATTAATGAAATGTGGTAATCCACAACTTCTTAATTCTCTTATTCAATTATATCCTAAAGTTCTTTATTCAATACGTGCATTTACACACGCATTAGCGTATCTTAATTCTTGTTTAAATCCTTATTTATATGCATTATTAAATCGTAATTTCTGTATTGATCTTGCTGATATAGTACCATCATGGATGTCATGTGGTAAGAAATTAGTTACAATTGAAAATGAACATTTTAATAATGACCCACAATTGTCAAGAGCAATATTATCAGGAAATCAAATTTTTATTTCAAAAAAATATCATGATCATGATGAAGATGATACAGATTATTATGAACAAAATCAAACAACAAATGATGCTAGTTGTCAAGTTGAATTACATTAAATTGAAGTTAACAATCAATAGTCAAAATAATTCTTATGATTATGAACAAACGAAACAAACTTATATAAATTTTTCTTTTCTTCTTTCTTGTTCAGTATATACACACAAGATAAACCAAGACAAAAAAAAACCAAAATATTTTCTTTATGAGAAATTTATTTAAATAGCAGTCAGTATCAATAGACAATATATTATACAATTATCACAGGTATACCTATATTGTCAATATGGAATCGAAACAAAAAAAAAAAGCGAAATAGACAAGTATAATTTGAGTTAGTGGTAGATATTTAAAAAAAACCATTGCGAAGATTATTGATCAAAATCGAATATAACAGATATGAATAACCACAGAAAAAAAAAGTTGAATCAAATGAATCATTAAAAAAAGCAATTTGCTTGCTGATATCATTTATCTTCTCGAGACAAAGTCATGAACAATCAGCTTAATGAACAAAAGATAAAAGGAAAACTTTAGTTTAACGATAAATATTCTTTGTCATAATCAGCTCGATTAAGGTCATGCCAACGAAGATGTGGATTTTGTTTTGAATATCGAAGTGAAACAAGATGACCCACTTCATCCATTGCTCTTAATGCCTAATTAATGAAAATAGAATATAATAAATAATAAAAACAAAACAAAGAAAATTTCTTTTCTAATTACATGATCCAGCATTTCTTTTGTATGACCAGCTGAAAGACAAAAACGTACACGTGATTCAGTTAAATGAGTTGCCGGAAAACCGACAGTAACAACAGCACAACCACGTTTTAACATTTCTCGATTAACCGCTCTTGAAAAAGAAATAAATATTAAAATAATAAAAAGATTAAAAATCTTAATTAAACAATTTTTCTTACGCTATTTTAGCTGGCATATAAATCATAACAGGTACAACAGGTGAATTATCATTACCATAAACAATGAAACCCATATCAAAAAGTTGTCGACGAAAATAACGAACATTACAAGCTAATTGTTGAATACGTTTTTGACCTGAAATCTTTTTTATTTAATCATATTTCATTACAAAATCAAATATCTTACCATCATTAGTACCATCACGACCCATTATTATATTCAATGCAGATATTATTTGAAGAACAACAGGAGCTGACATACTCGATGAATAACATGCAGAATGAGAATAAATACGTATGTGATCAATCAATGTCTATTTAAAATATAAAAGAAAAAAAAAATAATTGTCAAATAAAAACAAAAACACAAATAGAAAATATAATAATTCTACCTTTTTTCCAGCAATATAACCACCAGCTGATCCAAAACTTTTCGTAAATGTACCCATATGTATATCAATATCATTAGGATCAACTTTCCAATAATCAACAACACCACGACCACGTGGACCAATGGCACCAATTGAATGTGCTTCATCAACATATAAATAAGCTTTATATTTTTTCTTTATTGCGATTATTTCTGGTAATTTACATAATGAACCTTCCATACTAAAAGTAATAATAACAATAACATCATTAAAAATTCAACAAAATAATACCTGTATACACCTTCAACAATAATTAGAATTTTTTTCCAGGGTCGACATGTTCGAGGTTGACCGTGAATAATAGCATCATGTAATTGTAGTTCCAAATCTTTCACATCTATGAATTAAGATTAAAAAATTATACTTTCAATTAATTCAATCGTCAGTAACTTTAACTAAATAATTTACACTGGAAATATAATGATAAAACAATATATTCAGTGTTAATCATTATAATAATATAATCTATAGAAGAGTCACTTTCCTATTCATGTCGTTGAATTCAAAAAGTTGACATGTTCTCTTTCGAACAGATACTTGACTTAAAACACTGAACATTATAAGAAAAGAAACAATATATTTTTTTTCTTCTAATAGAACATTAAAAGAAAAACAATTTTTCAACTTGAGTTTTTCATCATTGTGAATGTCCTTCTACTCGAGCGGGACTAGTTCTCTATCAAATAGATCTTATCCCTCCATTAACTATGACATATTTGTTAAATTTCTATTTATACTATACCAAATTTCTTTTCATTAATAAAAAAAAAAGCAAACACAAGGACTTTCACGTTGAATTGTTCGTACCGCCAAGGTAATATTCATTTCATAGTTCAAGGAAACAAAAAAAAAGAAAGAATTTTTTATCATATGAGAACGATAATTCTTTTCTATTAAAATATTTACCATTGTGATCAAATGTACGTATTGTTGCTCCAGATAAACGAGCACCAAGTATAAGGGAAACATGATTAAGTTTATCACTAAGTATTAAATCACCCTATGAATAAAAGAAAAAAGAAAAACATTAATATTTTTTTTTAACTAATAAAATTAAATAAAAATCAATTTACTTTTCCAGCTAATGTCGGAATGTTTAATGCATTTGTTGCAAAACCCATACCAAAAGCAATACAATCTTCCACATTTAAATATTCAGCCATTAAAGATTCAAGTTCTTTCATGTATTGCTGAGTACCCAATTCATGACGTGTACTACATGTTGTGAGTCCATATTTTTCTATAGATTTAATTGCTTCTTCGGAACATGGACCTTGGTTTTCAGCAAAACCCAAATAATTGTATGAACCTAAATTAATTGATGGAATTTTTTTACCACTAAATCTATTAAAAATAAAAAAAACAAGACTTTTTTTTTGAAAATTAAAAAAAAATTTTCTTACTTAAACGTCCAATTATAATCATCTGAAAGACGTTCCATAACATGAACTTCGGCTCCAGCAACACTAGCTATTGGTTGATTGAATACATCACGTATACGTGTATATAAATTACGTGTATAAAAACATTCGTAACTCTGATAAAGTGGTACAAAATCCTATGTATTTTTAAAAAGTCAAAAGATAACTTATTATTATTATATTTTTTTTTCATCTTATTGTTTGTCGGAAACAAAACTGAACATACTTTTGGATTGGGATCATAAGCAGTTTTTTTTTCTTCAAAACCAATATGACGTAGAAAATCTCGTAACCAACCGAGTGCACTAAGAATTGCATAACCAAGAACCGTAACAACAGCAGCCCATGTTGGTGTTTCTTCAAATTCTTCATGATTTTGAAATTTGAATACATTTTCAGATATGAACTTTAAATAAAAAACGAAAAAAAAAATTATTTTTAAAAAAAAAAATAAAAACAAAAAAGTTATTTTACTTTTGACTTTGAATTTGATGATGATGATGATGACGATGATGATGATGATGATTTGTTCATGTTTTTATCTAAACTTTGATTCATACTAATTTTTGCTGACATCTAAAAATCAACGTAACTTTATGATACTTAAATAGTTTTTATAAATAGAATAAGATAAATGCAACTGATAAAGATGCAACAAAAGAAAAAAGTAAATAATTTTTTTTTATTGTTGTTTTAACACAATTTTTCATGGACTAACTTATTTTATCAACATCTGCTATATAACGAACAACAATATTACAGAGTAACTATTTACATAATGACTGCTACACTACACACCCACACACACCCTTTACAAGCCAGAAACAGAACGCAAAGACGAAGAAAAAAAAATCTCCTTTGGATGCTTGAAGAACAGCAACGAACACGTCTAGAGTAGTAATAGAATTAATGTCCTCAACTCACAATATGGTAGCAACCATTTTCTTCGCTTTCTTTTCCCATTTTATGGGCATCAGCTCATCTATTGTCCCAAATAACTATAATATATTTATTTTTACACGTACTCTCACAATATTCTTTCTATCTTTTCTGATTAAACCATATTCACAAACATATTATTATTGATTCTATAGAGGATCAACTGAATTACTTGAAAACTATAATACTTTACGTGAAGAACTTACGGTGTAAGTTTTTCATTCGTTATCTTCAACTATATTTTTATTTGTTACGAACAGAAATGTATAAAACAACAAGAAAGAATTGTGAGTGTATCGAAACGTGACCGCGAATGCTCATCGTGAACTTATTTTAGGTGACGCATTGGATGTGTTTCATTTAAGCAAACGTACTCTATATACGCGTATACACCGTCGGTTGCCAATGTATGCAAAATGAAAAGATTGCCTATATAGGCAAGAAAAAAAGGGAAGAAGAGAAATAGAAAGAAGAAGAAGAAGAATAGAGCGATGAAGAAAAGAAAGAAAAAAAAATGAAAAAACATTTATAATTTTATGATCCATCTACTTACTCAACTATTTCAAAACATCTATATTTTCATATAATATATATTACACTCATTCTTAATAAGAATAAATCATAAAAATAAGAAAAACAGATGATTGATTAACGTTCGAAAACACTTTTTTTTTCTATAAATATATCTCAATGACTGATTTATTTTAATATAAAAAAATAAATAAAAATATGTATTTTATGTCAATTTAATTGATGAAAAAAGTTTTATTTTCTTTTTTTAGATTCCTATGTTTGCTAATAAAACAAAGCAGTGAATAGAACATTTATAGATGTAAAAAGACTCAAGAACACAATACTCTTCGACGTTAATATCACTTCATTTTTACGAGAAATAAAAGGAATGATAAAAATTACTTCTATTTTGACAATTACGATTAAAAGAATCATTGCAAGACGTTTCTTATCTTTGAACAATTCCTTTTTTTCTTACTATATATGAATATCGGGTCATGATATTCACTTTCTTTTTTTTCTGATGCCAAGAATAAATGTTCCATTGTCAGATGTCATTTCAGTTCGTTAAATAGAACAAAATAATGAACCTAAAGATAAGTCTTAGAAAAATTAAAATATTATAAATACCAACTTTTCATAATCTTTAATAATATCATCGCGTAAAATCAAATATAAAGAAATTCGGACATAGATCATTATTAAAAATGTAACAGATGTGACAAATGACTTACGATATGATGATTTTAAAATCCATGATACGAGTTTAATTTTGATTAAATCGAATTGGTATTTATCCAGTAATGAAGTCTATGATTGCATACTTGAACTT